TGCTTCGTCCTGGAATGAAAAGACGGATTCTTTGCTAGATGAATAGCACTTTGACTTTCGCAATACAAGACATTGTTTTCTTATTTCTTGCCTAACTCTTCCAAGAAACTTTGGAGCCAAACCATCTCCTTGCTGACTTCTGTAACAACGACATATTCTGCTTCAGTTATGGAGAGAGCAACTATCTTCTGTAGTTGAGAAACCCAACTCACTGCGGTTCCTCCTAGAGTATAGACATACCCTGTAGTGCTCCTTCTGATGTCAACATTTCCGGCTAAGTCAGCATCTACATAGCATGTCAGTATTGTATCTCTACCTTTGAAACAAAGTGCTTTGTTTTTGGTACCCCGCAGATATCTGAGTATCCATTTGACTACTTCCCAGTGTACATTGCCCGGATTATTCATGTACCTGCTAACAGCTCCCACTGCTTGAACAATATCTAGTCTGGTACAAACCATGGCATACATCAGACTTCCAATTGCTGAGGCATACAGTACCTTCACCATGTGTGCACGTTCTTTCTCCGTCTTTGGTGACTGTTCTTTGTAGAGTCTGAAATGAACACCTAAAGGTGTACTTACTGGTTTAGCATCTTACATGTTGAATCTGGAGAGTACTTTGTTGATGTACTCAGCCTGTGATAATATCAAAGTCCCCGACTTTGTGTCTCTCTTGATCCTCATCCCAAGAATCTGCTTTGCAGCGCCCAGATCCTTCATAGCAAACTGCTTCGACAATTTTTGCTTCAAGTTTATAATCTCTTGCATGTCTGAGCCTGTAACGAGCATGTCATCAACGTACAATAATAAAATAATGAAGTTGTTGTCAAACCTCTTGATGTAGCAACAATGATCTGCTTGGCATCTGGTAAAACCACTGCTACTCATGAAACTATCGAACTTCTTGTACCATTGTCTAGGAGCTTGTTTTAAACCATACAAGCTCTTCTTCAACATGCATACCAGGTTTTTCTTGTCTACCTCTATGAAGCCTTCTGGATGCCTCATATAGATTTCTTCCTCCAAATCACCATGAAAGAAAGCTGTCTTTACATCTAACTGCTCAAGATGTAAATTCTCTGCAGCTACAATTTTCAACACCAGTCTGATTGTGGACAGTTTTACGACTGGAGAGAAAATTTCATTGTAGTCAATACCTTCTTTTTGTTGAAAACCTTTGACAACCAATCTTGCTTTGTAGCGTTTTCTCCCTTCGTACTCTTCTTTGATCCTGTAAATCCACTTATTGTGCAGCGCTTTCTTGCCTAGTGGTAATTCAGCTAATTCCCACGTCTGATTTGACATAAGCGAGTCCATCTCATCTTTCATGGAAGACTCCCACTTGACTGAATCCTTCACCTGCATTGCTTCATCATAGCACTCTGGTTCACCATTGTCAGTCAGTAACAAGTAGTGCAAAGAAGGCGAATAACGTTGGGTTGGTTTAGGAATTCTGGAGGAGCGTCTCAGTTCTAGTGTGTGTGGTTCTTATTGAACTGCTTCAGGATTGATCTGGACATCATTTCCAAAAATCTCCTCGAACTCAGCAAATTCCTTTGTTTCAACCTCGGTATTACTCGATTCTGCGGTTGACCTATCTTTGTACATCATATTTTCATTGAAAATGACGACTCTGCTTCTGATGATCTTTCGATTTTCGTAGTCCCAAAATCGGTAATCGAACTCATCACCACCGTAACCAACAAATACACATTTTTTGGACTAGGCATCAAGTTTACTTCTTTCAGCAGAGTTTATGTGTACATAAGAAATACAACCAAACACTCTTAAGTGTGAAAGGTTTATTTCTTTCTTGCTCTAAGCTTCATCTGGCATTCCGCCATCCAAAGGAACTGAGGGCCCACGGTTGATCAGGTAAGCTGCAGTGTTGATAGCTTCAGCCCATATCAATTTGGGAAATCCGGCATGTATCCTCATGCTTCTGGCACGTTCATTCAGAGTTCTATTCATGCGCTCAGCTACGACATTCTGTTGCGGTGTTATGGGAACTGTTGTCTCCATCTTGATCCCATTGTTTGCGCAGAAATCTCTGAATCTACTGTCTCTGTATTCTCCTCCATTATCAGACCTCAATCGTTTGACTTTCAAATCAGTCTCATTTTCCACCATGGCCTTCCATTTTCTGAAGGTATCAAAGACTTCTTATTTCTTCTTCATAAAATAAACCCATATCTTCCTTGTTAAATCATCGATGAAGGTGACATAATATAGTGAGCCTGCAAGATATGGAACTGGGGATGGTCCCTATACATCAGTATGAACCAATTCTAACCTTTCTGCCTTGGGAGTCTTGCCAATCTTTGTAAAGCTGACTTTCTTTTATTTGCCAAAGATTCAATCCTCGCATAGTCCGACATCTACATTCTTTAGATCCGCCAGCTTCCCTTTTGACATAAGTATCTTCATTCCTTTCCCGCTCATATGGCCAAGCCTTTGGTGCCATAGGTTTGATTTTCCATCAGCATCTACTACTACAATGATATTCTCTAAATTTGAGGTTACATAGAGAGTACCAGTCTCCTTACCACGAGCAATGACGAGTGCTCCTTTGGTAATCTTCCATTCACAGCCTGAAAAGGTTGTACTATATCATTCTCCATCAAACTGTCCAATAGAAATCAGATTTCTTTTGAGGCCAGGAATATGTCTCACTCCTGTCAGCTTCCAAGTGGTCTTGTTTGGCAGCTTTAGTCGGATGTCTCCTTTTCTGACGATCTTCAAAGTTTCATCATCAGCTAGATGAACCTTCCCAAAATCACCAATGACATAGTTCTCCATGATTTCTTGGCATGGTGTGGAGTGGAAAGATGCCCCTGAATCCAAGATCCATGATTCAATCGGACTGTTGACACTTAGAATCATGGCATCTCCTGTCTCCTCTGTCACGTTGGCAGAATCCTGTGCGCTGGTATTTTTCTTCAGTGCTCGGTAATCTCTTTTAAAGTGACCTTTCTTGCCGCAGTTATAACAGGTAAAATCTTTCTTTCCCGTTATTGATTTTCCCATTCTAGATTTTGATCTGCCACGAATTGAATTTCTTTCTGAAGTTCTCCCTCTAGACTCCATGTGCAAGGCTGAGGAGGTTGATGCTTCACCCGATTCTCTTCGTCGAATTTCTTCACTCAATACCAGATCCCGAACATCGTCGAATTTTAATTTGCTGTTTCCCGACGAGCTGCTGACTGCTGTAACAGTAGCATTCCAACTGTCTGGTAGAGATGATAAGAGAATTAAAGCTCGAATTTCATCATCGAACTCAATTTCCACTGAACTCAACTGGGTTGTGATTGTGTTGAGTTCATTTAGATGTTGTGTCATCGATGCCCCTTACGTCATCCGTAAATTGAATAATCGCCTCATCAAATGAACTTTGTTTGAGGCCGATTGCTTCTCATACATACTGGAGAGAGCCGCCATAAGACCCGCCGTGGTCTTTTCCTTTGCTATGTTGAAAGCAACATTTCGGGACAACGTTAGTCGGATAACTCCGAGGGCTTGTCGGTCGAGAAGAGTCCAGTCTTCATTCTTCATGCCCTCTGGTTGTTTTCCTGAGAGGGGTTTATATAGATTTTTCTGGTATAGAAAATCTTCAATTTGCATCTTACAAAATCCAAAGTCCGCACCATCGAACTTTTCAATTTTCACCTTCCCTTCGTCTGCAGCCATCGCTCCCACTCGAATATGGCTTCGTTTGGATCGTTTTTGACAATTTCTGCGAACTGCCGTGTATTAGAACACCTCCGTCGACAAACTCGTATCGCCGACTGATTTTCACTATTCACAAAATTCACTATTCACGTGAATAGTAACCCAAATAGTAACCTCGCAAAAAATTGACAGAATTCACAACCAAAAGCTCTGATACCAATTGTTAGAAAATAAACCGAGTACGAGTAATTTCCCTATAGCCAGATTAGTGAGAATACGAAATAAAAGCGGAAAAATAATACCCGAAAAATTGATAACGGAGTTCAGCCAATTGTGCTTATGTCTCCGGACTGCTGCAGATCTTTTACTAAAGAGAAAAAATTACAGGTGCTTACAAAACACACTTGAGAGAGAAGTGGAAGATTTTGGGATGATTTTGAAACTAAATGAGCTAGGGTATTTATAGTTGAAACTTAGAGACTAATCTTATAGTTAACCCTATTTCTGTTTCAATAAAGAATTGAGGCACCGAATTCGGTGCCCCCAATTGTTGAAAAACCCAAACCGACGCCCTCAATTCTAAAAAAATAAGCCCCTTTTGTTGACTTATAATTAGGCGGTGCTCCCCCACCATTTTTTTTTAACTTTTCTTCAACAAGAATGATGGACATTTGCTGCTAGACCTGCATCCACAGCAACTGAAGCGCATTTCTCTGTTGCAAATTTGCATATAGCCCATAGATACAACCTGAGTCCATTTTGGGAACCTTTCATCAATTATTTTCTTTCAAAGCCAACCTTCCTTCTGGAATATTTTAAAATTAGATATAACATTTTTCTATTTTATTCATTTTTTAGAATTTTCTATTTTTAAAATTTAATTTTATTTTTATTTTTAGACGTAATTAAGTATAATTATATTTTTAAAAATACATAATTTGAAAAAATTTGCTAAATTTTTTAAAGATTTTTAATAATCCTTTTTATATTTTTACTATTTTTAAAAATTATCTTGATTTCTAGTAAAATTGTATAAGATTGGTGATGTCAATTGGGGAGATGACTTCCAAATATCTGTTCTTTATCCAAAAGGATTTGTTTGTTCAAATCCAACGGCATCTCCTCCTTCCTATTGATAGTTCCATGTTGAACACTTCAACACCTTCCTATTTATTGGTGAAAAAGAATAATGATTTAATTACTTCAAAACCTTCCTAACCACCTCAATCAAATCCTAAATCCTCTCCAAGATTTTCATTGTTAAGATCAAAATCTCATCTTGGTTAGGCAATCATCGAATCTCCCGAATTGCAATCTTTATCATCCAGAATGAAAAGCAAAGAGCATAGCCGAAAATCTAGTAACAAATTCGTGCGGTTCCTGAAAGCTCCTTTCAAGGCTTTGCGCAAAGCTAGGGATGGTTATATCAGAATTTTGACGAGTTGTGCTTCAAACATGCACTACGGACTATGTGCCAGTTACTTTCCGGGGCAATTCTACGAGTTGCCGACAAGCTTCAGTGAAAGATCGTCGGCAACATCTGATGTCAAGGAAGAAGCTGTTCTAAGGGAGCTGATCAGGGCTGCGTCAAGCTCAAAGCGTTGGACCCAAACGGAGATGTCATCGCCGAAACAATTGAGGATGAAGATGAGATCAAGGGGGTTGCCAAAGAATATGGGTAGAATCGATGAAGACAAGCCTTGTGAATTCGAAGACAACGATGTTGTTATTGTTGATAGGAGGATGAAGTTTGGTATGAAATCCCAGCATCAGGAATTTATTCCCGTCTACATTGCCAGGAAGTGATTTCTTTTATACGTAAATATAAATATTTGTATGTGCATGTATATATCAAAACCAAACCTGATATGCCTAGATTATTGATCAAATGCAATGTGGAAATAATTTGACAGTTTAAAGCTCAAATTACCATCTACCAAATCGTTCAACAATAGCTTATATTCATCCCTCTTCTCAGACATCATTCAATCATTTAGAAAAGACAAGTTAATATAGAATATAAAACTATTTTTGTTGCATTATTTAAATTTTACGATCATTTAAAATACTATTTAAATATACTTAATATTATTTAAATATTAAACTAATTTAAAATAAAAATATTTAATATAATTATAATTTAAATAATTAGTTATCTAATTAAAAAATATAAAAATGAGTCATGTAAACAAAAGCTCTTACTTCAAGCAATAGCGAAATGCCAGAGAGGCTAGTTATTAAATATATATACATTTTAATATATATATATATATATATATATATATATATATATATATATAATAAATTTAGCTACTCCAAAAAAAATACTGTATACTATTTTAGAATTCGAAAATTACTTAAATATCATTTAATAAGAAGAGTTAATGACACATGTCGTTTTCGCGTCAAAATAAATCCTTCTTATAAAATAATAAATAAAGGAAATTAAACGTAGTAAGGGAGAAATAAGAGTCAGATCACATAGGAACTAAAGAAACTTCCTGATGTAGATTGTTTCTTGATCTTTGATCTAGGTAAAAAAATCTGCAAGTAAAATAAATTGGGAGGGGCTGTTGAGAGTTAAAGAAAATAAAGATTTAAAGAAAACGTATTTAGAGAATATGAAAATCAAATAATAAAAATCAGCCTCAAACTTTAGCTTTGTCTCAATTCCAATCGATCCTTAAATAGGATTTTACTCCAGTTAAATGTCGATTTGAGTCTGCAAAGTTCAATCCTTGTAGCTCACTTTTCTAGTTGGTGATTATTTTCCCAAATTTAATTTAAAAATCTCAATCCTTGTTCAGATTAACCACGACTATCGTTTTTAACTCAAAACATTTTAAAAGTGCTTAGAAATGCCCGATTCAAATTATGCTTTCTCTATGAAAGTCGAATTCGATCCCAATTTTCTCTTAGCGTGCCATCGCTAAGTGTGTTCAAGGGAATTCAAATCAATTGATTCTATAATCGCAAAAGTAAACCATCACGACATCCAAGCACAAATCTATTTTTGAAGTGAAAGTGTTTTGATTTTAAGAAAGACAATCTGCCAATCTAATTTCCAGAAAAATTGAGAAATTTAACCCGAAGGGTATGAGGTGCTTTTCAATTCTCACATTATGAATTGAGTTATCGCTTCAACCTTTGGCTATAAAAAATTTAGCTAAGCAAGGTAGAAATCATACTTAGCATTTTAAAGAAGAAAACTTAAAAGAAAAATAAAGAAAAAGCGAAAGTAAAAGTAAAAGTAAAAAGAAAAGAAATTTTATAAAAAACTAAAGAAAGGAACAAAAGTATTCGAGAGATAAGAGATGATTGAATTCGATGATTTTCAGGCTTACCCCGATGGGGTATTTATAGTCTCTAAAAAACCCTAAAATTACATTAAAAATCCTAAAAAATAATTCTTGAAATTAAATAAAAAAAATAAAGATAAATCATAAATTTAAATTTAAATTTGTGGTTGAGTCTTCTACTTTCATGAAAATGCTGACTGGACTTTCTAGAAGATGCTGACTGAATTCCACGTCGGCACTTTCATGCCCATTAGGTCGCCCATGATTTTGGAAAAATAAAAAAATGTAGAACTTTGTCTTTTAAATGCAATTTCTAGAATTCAGGGTCCTCCACGAAAAACAAGTAGAAACATCCAAATAAGCAATAATAATGAACAATCAATGAGTATTTAAACACAATGAACCAAAATCAAAGCAATTACTTGAAACTAGAAAACAATCAAGCAAGTGGCAAAGCTAGGAAATAAGTTAAAGCAAGACATTCCAATAACTCACAAGTCTCATGATGCAAAACTCAATACCCTCATGATGCAAAACTCAATACCCTCATAAAAGATTCACTTATTCCACTCAAAGTGTTTAAGGAAAAAGAAACGCTCAAGCCAATACAAGTAAAAACATTACCATAAGCTTGTAATTAAATCCAATCTCCACTACTTAAAAATGAAAATGATACAAAAGTTAAGAGGTCTTTAAACAAGGTCGTAACGTGGCTAAGGTATGGGTAGGATAAAAGTAAAAAATCGGGTTTAAGGTTCAAGATAAAGAGAAGATCATTCCACAATTTATTCTAAAAAAAGCAAGCAAACATAAACGACAAACACTTTTTTTTCTTCGAACTTTTTTATTTTTTCGTTTATTTGTTCTTTTTTCAAAAATTTTATTCGAATTTTTCTACTGCATTGCATTTTTTCCCTACACAGTTCGAACCAAAACTGATTTTTCTACGTTGTTCGAACCAAACTGCACTGTTCAAACAGTGTAATTTTTTCTTTTTTTTCTTTCGAACACTGCTTCATGTTTTTTCCTGTATTTTTTTCTTCGAATGAACAACCTTACCTTTACCTGAAAATGGGTGACAATAGAGGGTAAAAATAAATACGGTTTTGGTTTAATATTGTGGTAAAACAAAGAAAGGGATTAAGACTCAAATTTGGCTATCTAAAGGAGAAATAAACAAAAGGTAAGCCATTTATTTTTGGGAAGAAAAATGGTTTAATCCTAATGCCTCTATCATACTAAAAACATCAAATTTATGCATGTAGTCTCGACAAGCATTATACCACAAGTTCTAGAATGCTAAGACTAGTTTGGCACACACAAAGAAACAAAGAGCAATAATGAAAAGGATATGCTCGTTAGGCTCAAAACTCACAAGAATAGGCTCAATGTACCAAGTCTAGCATCAATTTAACCAATAAACCATGGAATGTAAAACAAATTATGAAAAATTCACTAGCTATGTCAACTAACCATCACACATCCAATGTTCAATTCAAAGCAAGATTAAAAATTCATCGGGAAAAATTAAAACAATCAATTAAACTAAAGAATAGATAACAAATAATTCCAACATATCAAAATAAAAATAACTCAAATTCAACCATCTAATAAGCAAGGTGAAATTCAAAATGTTACCCTTCCCCCTCACTTTATGTGTTTTGTCTCAAAACATAATTCAAATTTAAAGCAAAAGAGAGGGAAAAGGAATACTCCCTGGTCTAGTGATAGTTGCGACAATTTCTTGCTATTGTGTGTGTAATGTTGTTCCAAAATTCAACAATTTCAAGCTTTGTTCGATTGGTTTCCAACTTCCAATTAAATCCCAATTTAATTAAGGATGACGGAGTACCTACAAAATTAAAATTTAAAAATTAAGAATTCTAAAAATAATGAAATAAAATTACAAAAAAAGTAAAATAAAAAACAAATTAAACTAGAAACAATTAAATTAAAAATATGGGTTGCCTCCCATGAGTGTTATTTTTAACGTCGTTAGCTCAATGTCTTGTTTTGCTTAGATTCCAGGCTCATCTAATTCAATTTCTTCAATTAATCCAACCGAAGAATTATCGTAATAAGTCTTTGATCTTTGGTCGTTTAATTTGAATCGATATCTCGTATCGTCTTTAATCTCTACTGCACCATGTGGAAATATTTGAGTCACCTTGTAAGGTCCGAGCCACTTTGATTTCAGCTTACCTATAAAAAGTTTAAGCTTGAAATTAAATAAAAGAACTTTTTGCCCGACAATAAATGATTTAAAAGAAATCTTTCGGTCATGATATTCTTTTAATTTTTCTTTAAATATCCTGGTGTTGTTGTAAGTGTTCTTTCAGATTTTTTCCAATTCTTAAATGTCTAACATCTGCGCCTCACTGATCGCTTCCATGTCCATGATGTATTGTTTAACTGCCTAATAGGCTTGATCCTCTAATTCAACTTGCAAATGGCATGGCTTCCCGAAGATGAGTCGTTATAGCTACATTTCGATGAGACCTTTATAAGCAGTCTGGTATGCCCATAATGTGTCAGATAGCTTGAGACTCCAATCATTATGATTCGACTTTATGATTTTCTCAATAATTGCTTTAATCTCACAGTTCGATACTTCAGCTTGTCCGTTGGTTTACATATAGTAAGCAGTGGCAATTCTTTGCATCACTCTGAACTTTTTCATGAGCGTAACAATTATCTTGTTGATGAAATGGGTTCCTCAGTCGCTTATTATCGCTCTTGGTGTGCCAAACCAGGAAAAGACAAAATTTTTCAAAAAGTTAACTGTAGTTCTGGCATCATTATTTCGGGTAGCCTTAGCTTCTACCCATTTAGAAACATAATCAACAACAAAAATGATATAAATATTTCCAAATGAAAAAAATAAAAGGACCCATGAGTCCCCACACATAAAAAACCTCACAAACGTGAATTAAATTTTGGGATAATCCATTCAGCTTAAATTCCCTACATATTGACACTTCTCACATGATTTACAAATTAAATAAGTGTCATGGAATAAATTAGGCCAAAAGAAACCACATTCCAAAATTTTACGGGCAGTTCGCTTTGGTCCAAAGTAACTACCACATGAATAAGAATGAAAAAAGTTTAGGATAGATTTTACCTCATCTTCAGTGACGCATCACCTAATTATCTAATCTGAGAAATACTTCCATAAATAAGGATCATCCCAGATATAATATCGGGACTCCCGCTTTAGTCGATTAATTTCATATCTAGGCAAATCTAAGGGTAATTTACTTGTGGCCAAATAATTTACCATATCTGCGAACCATGAACCATGTTTTACGCCAACATTAAATGTTTCTCTGGGAACTCTTCTTGAAGCGGTGGATCGGTTATAGAAAGGGGAATACGACTCAAATGATCTGCAACCAAGTTCTCGCATCCCTTTTTATCTTTAATTTCCAAATTAAATTCTTGTAAAAGTAGGATCCATCGGATAAGCCTTGGTTTTGCCTCTTTTTTTCTCATTAGGTACTTTAT